GGGACCCTACCCAGAGAAGCAGTGATGCCTGAAATGGAGCCAGAGATGATGACGTGGAGCAATGGAGCAGCTGGAGACTTTAGATCCAGAGAGGGAGAGTGACTGTGTGCTGAAGACTTGGGTGGTACCGGGGAAGGATTGCATGGAGGGGATTGTAACCATGGCAATGAGATGATATACCATAGAATGAATGTAAGCCTGATGTTCTCCCATGTAAACTATCACATAATTCACAATAAAACATTTTTAAAAAAAAGAAAGAAAGAAAATGGGGGGGAGGGGGAATTCCACTCCTGGATAAATTTCCAGGAGTGCGTCGTCCCCCCCACCCCACCCCACCCCGCTCAAGTTTTCCCGCAAAGCAGGTGTTATCAGCCTGAGAGTGGCAGTCTGCAGTGTGAGGGAATCCTGCCAGCGCCAGGTACTGGTGTTTGCTCGACAGCTTGGTGACGCTGTGCTCCCCGCCCTTGGGGGCCCTTTGTGACGCCGATGTGGAGGTCAGGCAGAGGCCCGGGCGAGGAGGGCAGTGCAGGATCATGGCTGGGACACAGGAGGTGCTGCTGCAGCTGCAGAAAGACAACCGCGACGGGCGCCTGCGAATCCAAGAGTTGGAGGAGTTGGTGCGCGGGCTCGAGACTGAGAGCGAGTGTCTCACCCGGCGCCTGCATGACTTGCGCGAGCGCGAACGCAGGTACTGGGGGACCCGGTGGCATAGGGTGAGGGCGAGAGACCCGGAGGGCGTGCGCTTGGACTCCTGGAGACGTGGAGTGTGGGCGCAGGGCACGCAGGACACTGAGTGTGCAGTATGGGCTAGGACCCCGGGGCAAGTGGTGTGTGGGCGCGGGACCTGGAGGTGGGCTGTTGGTGTGGGATCAGGACCCGGAGACATGAGGGCGGATGGTGGTCGTGAGTTGGGGGAGCTGCCATGGCACAGGTCTCAGCATTTCTTCTGCAGCCTGCAGCGGAAGCGCACCCAGGCGGCACAGGTCCTGCACGGGGAGGCGCGCGATGCGGCGCGGGAGTGCGCAGAGCGGGCGCTTGGATTGCTGGAAGCAGCTGAGAGACGCAAACAGGAATTGGTGCGCAGCGAGGCTGGGCCGTTAGAGGGGCGGGGTCTGTTGGTCAGGGGGCGAGGCCAGTTGGTCAAAGAGGCGGGGCGGAATGGGATGAAGGACGGGGTCAGGTGGTGCTGGTACCCAGCCCAGTGCTAGGGCGATGGTGCAGCGGAGTGGATCAGGAGCGTCCCCTGACCCGATCCGCAGGAGTTACACAACCAGCAGCTGCAGGAGCAATGGGAGGAGCTGTCAAGTCAGGTACGCTCAGGAGATTCCTACCTGGCCTCCGAGGGAGGTACTGCTCCATCCCTGCCCTGGCCTGTCCCTGTAAGAGTCCCGCGTATTCCACTCATACGCTTCCCGTCCCCAGCTCTTCTACTACGGAGCAGAACAGCCGAGTCAGCAGCACGCGGAGCAGCAGATCGGGTCCCAGTTGGTGGCGCTGCAGGTCGGAACCAGAGCATCAAGTGTGGGTCGAAGCGGAGGCGGGGCCTGAGGGTAGGGGTGGAGCGAATAGGGGGTGTGGTGGTCATGATGATCAGGGGTGGGACGAAGAGGAGATGATGGGGCCAAAACTGTGAGTGTAGGGGCGGGGCGTAGTGAACTCTGGGTTTGTGCCACGCGGTTTTGGGGACCGAGCGGCCCGCTGACCCCTGACATCTCTGGGCTTGTCTCGAAGAAACAGCTGGAGCTGGTGGAGGCCAAGCACGCGGTGCAGGCGGAGGAACTGCGGCAGGTGCGGCCCAAGCTGGGACCCCGGGGTACGGAGAGCAATGGGAGGAGCAGGACTGGCAGGAGCCGGTCTGCCTAGGCTGATTCGGCTCCCGAACCCTAGGGCGCGCAGCGTACAGAGGAAGCCTGGGCCAGCTTTCAAGAACAAAGTGGGGTTCTGCAGGTGATGCGCCCTCACAGCGCCTCGAGCCGCTTACCTCTGACTCCACGACGGCCTACTCTGTCCCTTCCTTCGACGCTAAGGCCTCCCCACTCCAACCCCCCAGGAACTTCAGGGGAAGGTGATGGAGGCAGCGGCTGCTCTGGAAGCCACGCGAGGCGGCCCCGAACCGTAAGGGGATTCGTACTACGAAGTGTGGCTGGGCGGCTGACTGCCAGAGTTGACCCGACCTGAGCACGGTGTCCCGCAGGTGGGATTCTCAGCGTCATCTGGAGCAGCACAGCGCGGGCTCGCTCATGGAGGAGGTGGCCAAGGTGGACTGTGTGAGCACGAGCCCGGGCGGGGTAGAGGAAAGCCACCGTCCACGGAGGATCCACTGCCCCTAGAGGACCCACTGCCCTCGGGGTACCCAAACCTACAGGTGACCCACTGTCCCCGGGGGAGACCACAGGAGACCTAAGCTCACGGGGGACCCACTACTCCTGAAGCGCCAATCGCCCTGGAGGTCCCTTCCCAAGGGGGACTCACCACCAAAGGTAGACCCACCTCCCACGGGGACCCAACCAGCCCCACAGAGCACCCTTGGGGGACCGGGTCGGCGGACGCCGCTCCGTTCCCCTCCCATTCCTGTTTGGGGTCCGGGTCCAGTCCTGCCCCTACCCCACGAAGTCCGAGCGCTCCCCCTGGACGCCGGCTCCCTCTTCCCGCAGGAGACACGCTGGTTGGGCGCCACGGGCATCAGGTGAGCCGGGTGGGTGGGCAGGTTCGCGGGCTGGTTTCCAGGAGCCGGGCAGCCGCAGCCACTCGAGGTTCGCCCTTCTTACTGCAGGCTGTGGGTGCTGGGCGCGCTGCAGATGCTACTGCTTCTCCCACTCGGTTTCCTGGCGCTTCCGCTGCTGTACCTGGTGCTGGTCAACTCGGCCCCGCTCCGCCGTAGACTCCCGTGCCTCTGCTCTGCAGCCGCGCTCCGTCGCCTGCGCTACACTTTGTCCCCACTGCTCCAGCTGCGCCCACGCCGGCTGCTACCCACCTAGTGCATCACACTGGCCGCGGCCGTCTGCACTCTGTCTCTGCGTGGTCTGTTGCGCCAGGGGTGGGGGAACACGGGCGGGGCGACGTTGGGGTCGGGAGGTGTAGACGCTGTAGAGTAGCTGCAGTGCGGGGCAGACCCTGGCGTGGAGACAGAGATGGAGACGTCGGGGAAAATCGCAGGGGAGAAGGGTGCGTGGCTACAGGGCGAGAAGGGTAGGTGGCTGAGCTGGGGGCGACGCCTCCACCAGGGCTGCGGACTTGGACAACAGACGCCTGCTCAAAAAGGCCCTCTGCCTGCGGCACACCCTCAAACTCTGCTGTCTGTTTGCATCTTAAACACCCTCTCCCACTCCCTCTACCCCTGAGCTTCCAGCTTCCAGGGCATGTGCTGACTTTCTCCCAGACTTCCGTGATTCTTGGCTCCACTGATGATGGATGGTTTGCATCCTCTCGGTGTGCGTATCTTGCAGTTTTCATTCTACAAATTTTAGGGTTAAATTTATTTCGAAGTGTTTTAATCTCTTTTAATCTCATTGACACACACACACCCCATTTCTTTTTTGAATTTTTTTCTTGCTAACATATGGAGTCCTATATGTGTGGCACTGAAAGGTTAACCACTGGACTGTTAACCACAAGGTTGGCAGCGCTCCTCCCAAACCCTGCAGTCAGAACCTAGTAGATAGCACTTAATAACAACAACGCAACAAAATGTATAAGAATTGATTTTTGTGTGTTGATTTTGTATTCTGTAACTTTGCTGAATTAATTCACCAGGTGGCACTGTGAGTTAGGCATTATACTACTTAACCACACAATTCAGTTCAAAACCACCAGCCACTCTGAGGAAGAAAGATTGAGGTTATCTCCTCCATACAGTCTTGCAAACCCTACGTGGGGTCACTATGAGTTGGAATCAACTCCATGGCAGTGTTGATTTTGTATCCTGCAGCTTTGTTGAACTCACTTATTGGCTCTAACTTCCATATGTCAGATCGTGTCTTCCATAAGTTGATGTTGTTAAGTGCTATCGATTGATGTGGTTCACCTCATAGCAACCCTGTGTAAGGTTTCTGAGGAGTGACCAATGAGTTTTGAACCACCAATCTTGTGGTTAAAATGGACCTTGTGGTTCAATACTTATCCAACAGCACCCCACCAAGACTCCTTTCATCCCATTTCGTTGTTAAGTGCTGTAGAGTGGGTTCCGGCTCATAGTGGCCCTGTATAGGGTTTCCGAGGAGCAGCTGGTGGGCCTGAACTGCCGATCCTGTGGTTTCCAGTCTAGCGCCGATCCTACAGCTCCACACCAGGAGTCCCAATGACATCCCATAGAATATTTTTATTCCTGCGGAAATTCCTGCAGAACAGTGTAGGAATGGGGGTTAAGAGAGAGTCCCAGTATAACCTAGGAAAGCCTAATTAAACCCTATGTGCCTAATTTTGTGGAATTTTATGTATATTACATTAATTTTATCGATTTCATATCAATCTATTTTATATTAATCATAAGGAGCTCTGGTAGTGTAGTGGTTATGAATCAGGCTGCAAACTGCAAGGTCAGCAGCTCGAAACTACTAGCTGATCCATGGGAGAAAGATGAGGCTTTCTGCTCCTGTAAAGATTTACAGCCTCGGAAACCCTGTTCAGGGTCGTTATGGGTTGGAACCAACTCAATGGCATTTAATAACAACAACATAAATCGATTAATACAATTAATACAAATAATCCAATTTGGATTATTTGCTCTTTCTAATTACTTTGGCTAGAATTTCCAGTACTATGTTAAATAATATAAAGATCAAAGAGCACAGCCTTCAGTATGGATTACATCTCAATGTCAAGAACACAAAAATCCTCACCACTGGACCAATAAACAACATTCTTATTAACGGAGAAAAGACTGAAGTTGTCAAGGACTTCATTCTTCCTGGATCAACTATCAACAGTCATGGAAGCAGCAGTCAACAAATCAGACAACACATTGCATTAGGCAAATCTGCTGCACAGGAACTTTTTAAAGTGTTGAAGAGCAAAGATGTCAGCTTAAGGACTAAGGTGCACCTGACCCAAGCCATGCTATTTTCAATAACCTCATATGTATGCGAAAGCTGGAAAGTGAATAAGGAAGATTGTAGAAGAATTGATGCCTTTGAATTGTGGTGTTGGAGGAGAATACTAAAAGTGCCATGGGCTGCCAAAAGAACCAATAGATCTGTTTTGGAAGAAGTGCATCCCGAGTGCTCCTTAGAGGCCAAGATGGCTAAACTTCGTCTCTCATACTTTGGACATATTGTCAGGAGGGAACAGTCACGGGAGAAGGATATCATGCTTGGTAAGATGGAGGGTCGAAGAAAAAGAGGAAGACCCCCAACAAGATGGATTGGCCAGGTGGCAGCATTGATGGACTCAAATGTGGCAGCGGTAGCGAGGTTGGCCCAGGATCAGACATTGTTTCGTTCTGCTGTGCATAGGGTCGCTATGAGTCGGTTCCAACTTGATGGCACCTGACAACAACAACAACAATGTTAAATAATGGAGTCCTGATGTGGTGCTGTAGGCTAAGCACTGGACTACTAACAACAAGGTTGGTAGTTTAAATCCACCAGCTGCTCTTTGGAAATCCTATACAGGGTCACTATGAGTTGGAAATGGCACTTAACAACAAATATTAAATAGAGATGGTGACAGCAGGCATCCTTGTCTTATTCCTGATCTCAAGGGGAAAGTCTCTACCATTAAGTATAATTTTAGTTGTGAGCTTTTCATATTTGGCCTTTTTCATATTAAGGAATTTTCTTCCTATTCCTGCTTTGAGTATTTTCACCATAAAAGGGTGTTTAACTTTGTAAATGCTTTTTCTGCATCATTTGAGATGATCATGTGGGGGTTTTCCTTTATTCCTAAATGTGGTATCTTACATTGATTTTTTTAAAAAATAAATTTATTTATTTAAAAACAAATAAATCCCATTTGTTCATAGCATATAATCCTTTTAGTATGGTATTGGATTCGGTTTCCTAGTATTTTGTTGAGGATTTTTTGCACCTATATCCATACGGCATATCTGTCTGTAGTTTTCTTGTGGTATCTTTGGCCTCATTGAGGTTAATACTGGTCTTGTAGAATGAGTTAGGACATATTCCTTTCTCTTCAGTTTTTTGGTGATTAAGAAGGCTGGTGTAATTTCTTTTTATATGTGTGGTAGCATTCACCAGTGAAGTTTATCTGATACTTGACTTTTCTTTGTTTGGATATTTTTGACTACTGATTCAATCTCCTTACTTGTTACATTACAGATCCACTCAGGTTTTTTGTATGTTAGGTCTAATTGGTTTACAGTGTTGCTCGAGTTCTCTGTTTCCTTATTAATCTTCTCTCTGGTTCTCTATTTATTATTGAAAGTGGGGTATTAAGGTCTCCAACATTATTTGCAGAACTATTTCTCACTTCAGTTCTGTCCTTTTTTGCTTCATATATTTTGAGGCCAGGTATGTATGTGTTTTTTCATTCTGATAGATTGAATCTTTAGTCAATATATCCATTATCTCTTTTAAATGTTCTCATTTAAAATCTAGTTTGATATTGGATAGCTGCACCAGCTCTTTTGGTTACTGTTTACATGGAATATCTTTTATTTCCTGATGTGGCGCTGTAGGATAAACACTGAACTGCTAACCGCAAGGTCAGCACTTTTAACCCACCAGCCGCTTTTTGGAAACCCTATACAAGGTCACTATGATGCAGAACTGACATGAGGGCATTTAACAACAACTTTCCGCGTCTTTGGATATTTTTGCCTAAAGTGAGTCTCTTATGGATAGCATATAGATAATTTAAAAAAATAATAAATCTTCCATCATGAGTGGACCAAGGATCCTAACCAGAAAAGCAGCAACAGCAGAGACAGTGGCAGAGGCATCAGCACAGAGAGAGAGAGCAGCTGAGGACTCTAGGCCTATGGACTGAGAAAAGCTGCGTGCCTGTAGGCAGGAGGCTGGCTTGCAAAGTGTGTGCCCTTTGCAAATATATATATTCAACAAATATATATTTACTGTTTGGTATGTGTACATAAAAAAAGGGGGACTAGCAGTAAATACTATTGACTGATGGTACATGGAGGGGATTTATTCACTGCAATGAAACAAAATGTGATTTTGCTAATGTAAAACTGATAATCTACCCTGTAAATTTCACTTAACTCACAATAAAAACTTACAAAAATAAATAATAAATCTTCCAATCTCTGCCTTTTAATTTGGAGAGTTTGGTCCATTTATATTTAAAGGTATTAATGTTGTTGTGGTTAAGTGCCATTGAGTCAGTTCCGAATCATAGCAACCTTGTATAGGGTTTCCAAGGAGTACATGATGGGTTTGAACTGCTCATCCTGTGGTTCAAAGTCCAGTGCTGATCCTACAGCACCACACCAGGAGTCCAAAGGTATTAATAATAAGGACTTATTTATCCCATTTAGCTATTCTTCCCCTGTACAGCTTACCTGCTTTTTTTTCTCAATTAGGCTTTTTATATTTAATATTTTTTGTAGTAAACTATTACATATATAGAAGCTCTGGTAGTGTAGTGGTTACGAATCGGGTTGCGAACCACAAGGTCAGCAGTTCGAAACTACCAGCTGTTCCATGGGAGAAAGATGAGGCTTTCTGCTCCCATAAAGATATACAACCTTGGAAACCCTGTACAGGGTCGCTATGAGTCAGAACCAACTCCACAGCACACAACAACAATTACATATTACAATTTTTTAAAATATATTTTTAGTTATTTTCTTAGTCATTATCTTTGGGGTTACAATGACCATCTTTAATTTATAACAACCTAATTTCAATAATATGAAAAAAACCCCACTCTTTTCCTATAATCTGTCCTTTATATTTTTACTGCTACAAATTATGCATGTGTTCATTAACAAATTTATAATTATTATTTTATTCATTTGTCTTTAAATCATATAGAAAAAAGGGAAAGTACAAATCAAGAG